GCATTTTACTCCATCAACACTATCTGACGTTTCTCTTTTAAAGGCGTTATAAAACGGCCTTATTTTTAGCACAAGAAAAAGCAGGACAAAAATATCTTTTGCTATCCTGCCCTGCCATGCTGACCTACAGGGCAGACTACAACTTTTTTCGTGCCTTGTGCTGCCTCCAGGGCAGGGCAGATCATCCTGGTCTGTGCACACCTCTGGTGTACACTAACGAAATAAGAAGAGATTTCGTTTAAATTTTTTTAATAGTTGACAATTAACGCTCATGTTTAATTCTAATAAACAAAAGTACAGAAAAATTAAAAAAGTCTCAAATGTAATTGAACGGCTTATTTACAAATATGGTACACGAGTTATCGCGGATCAATGTCAGGGTATTTCTTTATGTATAGCGGTGGGAGAATTTTCAAAGTACAGAAGCAGCGGACCCGGTCGATTAGACTAGATCCTTGCCGATTGTCAATTTTCGCTACTACGTCGACTTTCGCGAGTTTTGGACAAAATAAATATCGCCAAAACAAGGAACGAAAAAAGTTAAAAAATGGAAGATTTCAGTTCGTATCTCCTCTTGGCCTCCTTCTCTAATGCGTCGAGTCGATTTAATTCTCGCAGCTGCCCTTCGTTCGGTTTGATTTGTATGTTCTTAATGTGAAATTTTCTTAAAATAACTAAATGTTTTAATTCCTCCACTCGCGATAGTGGTACGCAGGCTTGTGCAACGGGAGGTTTGGATGGTCTCGGAGGAAAGACAAGATCGATAACGATTTTGGGCATCGTTTGTACTTGACTTTTGTGGGTGGTCATAGCATACGTGAGCACGAGTGGTTGTTGTGTTCTTTTAATTGTAAGGTTCTGACTTTTCAGTTTTTTTCCACCTTGTTTTAATTCATGTTTGTGTTTCCCCAGAAAACCTTTGATATTCAGCATGAATTTTTGTGTTACGAGAGGAACTGGTATGACTTTCGGAGGAAGTGTATCAAACAGTTTGTCTGTTCTTGAATTCTCTATTTCTACTAGCGCATACAATGGTTTATGGATGTAGATGGATTGTATTGGAAACTTTGTTGTATCCAGGTTGCTGAGATTGTTATGCGCTTGCTCATAGACTAATTCACGAAATACTGCCATTGTACCATTATATAATTTTAATTCTGTAGCTATGTTTTGCGTCAATAGAACATGCATGCCCGGAACTAACGGTAAGTATCCAGGTAGCCATTTTGTTTTATTATCTGGTGATTCGAGAAGGTATTTGTGAAAATCCGGATTGTTGATGTTAATTTTCAATTCGTCTTGAGCAATACCAACGGCTTAACATCCTTTTCAAATGCTTCGGACGCGGTAGCTAGAATGTTCAATTCAGTTCGTAATTCATTTCTGAAGACGAGGATCGGTGCTTTTTTCCATTCATCTGTATCGAGAGATTTCACATCGTGATTTGGGTCTATAACTCGTGTCGTCAGTAATTCATGATCATCAACTGTACATTCGCCTTTCCGAAGACGTTGAAGAAGTTGCAGATATCTTGAGTCACTTGTTCTCATCTGCTTTTCTAACTTTACTACAGTGTTTATTTATAATTTGTTTCATCTACGGGTAATAATTTAGAAGTAAATATTAACAGATTTACAGCAGCTTTGAATGTAATCTTCATTATTTATAATACAGTCAACATTTCGAACTGTACACAGTTCATTTTCAAGACAAAAAGATGTTACAATGAATTTGAAAAGTAAAACAAATTTAAAAGAGAGAAAAAATAAAAGTAAATTTTATACATTTGTTCGTTCTTTCACGTATCAGAAAACGACAAATACCTCTATCATACACTGGTTACTTTTCTGTTGATTTTTAAGATATATCATGATATAGAAACGAATGTAACAAGGAAAAGAAGAATTTGTAAACACAGTATATTTCGTTTTCATTTTCAAACTTCGATAATATGTGGACGCAATAATACTAAGTTAATTTTATCGAAGATTTTGCAGATAAGTTTATTACATAAAAGAAAAGAATGTTCCGCCTGTTTTATTGTGTTTTGTCTTTTAGACGAAATATGGTCGTTACCTTGAAACTGTTGATGAAATGGCATCATACCTTATGTGGCCAGTATTTTTTATGTCTTTTTGTTGGAAGTATGTTAATATCGTCACTTAATGGTGTTTTCAATTCGCATTAAAGCAAAAAATTTTGTATGGCATCAAACTTGAATATATCCGTTATCAAGTACCTGTTATGAAATAAGAAAAATTGTTATAAGTTTCGTTTTCTTTTGGTTACAATATTATTAACATACTTTCAGACAATGTTTTAAGCCCAATCTAAATTGATTAGAAAGAGCATTTAATTCTGCATCGTTTCATGTAAGAACTACTCTTATTATTTTATTAATAAATTTCTACATGAAAACTATACTCCTTTCACTAGGCTATGATTCAGTACTTCAGATTCAAATAATAATTAATTTTGTTTGACATATTTTTAAATATAAGCCAATCTTTCTTACCTATCATTTGATGAAGTGAAGAAAGAGTTACAAAATGATACTTAATTTACTTGAGATACGAAAACAAATATTGTTGAATTAAATCGAAAATATAATGATCTTGAACAATATGGTCGACGTTGTAGTATGCGAATTTGTCGTGTTACTGAAGTATAAAATGACTGTACAGTGTGAGAATGATAATGATCGTATGTTTATTCAACAGAGAAAGATAACTACCGAATGCCCACTAACACATAAAAATACAGTCATATATATACGAAAAGAAAAGAATCGTTACGTTCAGACAGAAAGGAATGAAAGTAGGATGATGATATAAATATAGAAGAGGCGATATGAAGCATGCGAATGTGAAAAATGTGAGGAGGCTTTTCTTAACAGACGACATTGTAACTGATATTGCTAAAAAATTAGTATTAGCGTCACTAAAAATGATATTTATGTGTCAGCTCGTCCTTGTAAACTTCACAAAAAGTCACCTCATCCAATTTTATCATCATCATCATCCTACTTTCATTCCTTTCTGTTTGAACGTAACGATTCTTTTCTTTTCGTATATATATGACTGTATTTTTATGTGTTAGTGGGCATTCGGTAGTTATCTTTCTCTGTTGAATAAACATACGATCATTATCATTCTCACACTGTACAGTCATTTTATACTTCAGTAACACGATAAACTCGCATATGACAACGTCGACAATTAGTTTTAAATACAACTGATAATATGCCTCTTACACGATATAACGTCGACCATATTGTTCAAGATCATTATATTTTCGATTTAATTCAACAATATTTGTTTTCGTATCTTCGATTGTTGTTTCACACTGTTATGTTTCTTTTTGTATATTTTCAATAAACTGTTGAATTGATAGACTACGGCAATTTGTTTGAGAACGAGGAAAAAGCTTTTATGATCATGTTCTATTTGATCTGTTCAAATGTGAGCGTCTAGACTGAATTTCCTTGCTGAATAAGAAAAACATAGCGTTGGAACTTTAAAAGGATGATAGAGTAGAAAATATTGCTTTTTTTTTAAAAATTAGCGTGTTTTGAATAAATTTCATTATTTTAGTGTTTTTGAAAAAATATACAGGTTTGAATATATTCAGTTCATATGAATAACCTGTAAGTATTGAATAGCGTTATTCTCAATAGGTCTGTTGTTTATCTTCTCCTCTGGTATATGGACGCGATTCCATAAGGACTACGATTCGTGTCGAGCGGAGCATCCCAATGGGGAGCACGTAACACCAGAGCCGTTCCTGTATTCGGGATGCCCGAAGGTGTAAGATCATCGGTATGACAAAAACTGGTACGTTCAACCAACAGGGTGCCATAGTGATATACCACAAAGTCTTCTCCATGAACAACTCTGTTTGTATAAATGTAAACGGATAAATGTACTTCCTTCACTATTCGTCAAAACTTCACTTTTTTGATACTTCTTGTAATTATAAGATTACCCGTAAACTAAAAGAAATTTCGTCAGTCATAATTTGCAGGGCTATCCAACCATGTATGACTCAGTCAGGTTCGTGTCTGCTCCATTTTTGCCTTTCCTGCACCTTACCTCGAATGATGGTGTCTGCTCTACGAACAAGCACTTGATCGTCGAGAGAATCAAATTCTCTTTGGCCTACTGGTTGTACGAATCTTTTTTTAATCGGTGTAGTCAACAGCACTGATCTGTTCGCAGCCGATCTAGATCTTGTGTTACAAACTATGATGTAGATACACTTTAGTGTAATCGCACAAGAATTATGTGCGAATGTATAAAATATTGACAAGTGATTGGAAATACAGGAATGATACTTCTTGTTTGTTTATCTCTTTATCATTTGTGTTCGGTGACACAGCGGTCATGGACACAAGATTATTGGAACTAATTGCGACATCTTTCGTCAGTTGATCGCAGATATGATCGATATTCGAGGAAACAGCACATACTTTCTCGCAGCATTTAGCGCACTTTTCGTGTTTCCTTTATCGAAGCAAAACAGGTAAATTGATTCTATTTGTGGTTTCTCGTGAATCAGTGGCACAACAGATTCGCCTATTAGGCGAACCTCCAAAGGTTCGGGCTGAAGGTCCTAGGTAAAAACGATCTGACTGCATTATCGGATAGACCGTGCAATGGACTAAATAGGATGGAAAAATTTCTCTTCCATCACTTGTCTTGGCAGAGAAACAGAATCTTTATTTTTGCTTTCCATTTTTTAGACGCTGAATGTTCTATCGCGCGGACTCTGGAAATTCATAGGTTCATTAGGATTCATACGTTTTCATACATGCTGAACAAGACCGGACGAGTTAGAAGCAAATCTGAGACATCGATTGAGCATAACTTGTTGTTTCTCTCATGCAATGACTCCTGAATGAGTAACTATATTACTCATAGATTAGATTAAATATTTATTTTAATAAGAGAACTAGATAATATATTGCGGTTAATAGATAAATAGACGAGTCAAAAGTCATTTTATTCTGATAGTGACGATGCCGGCTCCATCACATCAGATCTATGTTTCTCGACTGCTCCTGTTGGTGAATGTGTTTCTTCTACAGTAAAATCATCAAAAGCAAGTGACCATTTACCATCATTTTTAATCCATGTTTCCTTGTCAATATGTCCGCTGCCAACGCTCATATACCATCTAGCTGATAAATCACCACTATTAGGACCGGTTACTTTTACCTCAACATTATAATAAACTAAATTTTTTGCACCCGTTGTATCAAGAAATGTTTTCCACCATTGACCAATATTGTTTCTTTGTTCAACAGGTAATCGAGGTGTTTTTGTATTTCGCGGATACATTTTTGCATTGGGCAAATAAGTATCAATAGTATATTTATAATCACCAATATTGAAACGTCTAACCCATTCTTGACAAGCAAGTAAAATTTCTTGACGAACTGTTTCTTTTGTAGAGGCGTTCTTCTGAACCACAACAGTGTCCTCACAACTAAATAATTTTCCTATAAAGATAAACTGTACTTCTTAAATTATAAGGACGGAGAGTTCTCGGAAGTTGTCAAATTGCTCCGCTTACTTAAGTGGTGTGTATTTGCAATTAACTGTGCCTAATCTGAATATGGCATAACATATTCGCCCGTTCCGAGCAATATGGTTACCGAAAAGATTCAGCTGGTCACAGTATGAAGTGTGCTTTCTTTTGGTAGAAACCTAGTCAATTTTCTTAAAAATTGCCTGGTTTTTGCAACCGTTTTATACCAGCGATACTATTTGTTGAATAGCCAAATATCCAGAGCTGGTGAATATCTTATTTTCAAGAAGAATGCCTCCTCGTCAAACATTCTAACGAGAGAAAAAATTTCCCTGTTTTTTTCGAGTTTTTATTGCTTGAAAACTGAACTTCTGCGACGTTTTTAAGCCAAATGGCATACGATAAATACTGTTGCTCTACTGAACGTTATTAAATAAAGAAAATATTTACAGGAACAAGAAAAAATAGAAAAGAACATGTGTCAAGCTTCTATATATCGCTATTATTTCTTCCGTTAATGAATTATTTAATAAAAATCGACAATTCAACAACATCAGGGAAAGAAACGTTTTTTGAAATCTAGGTTCAAAAATTCGATGACTATGCATTCGCTAATATTAACATTGAATAACTTAATCGAAAGAATTTCGTAATAGAAAAGAAGGGAATAAGCAAATAAGAAAGCATGACTAGTATCAATTTCAAAATAGAATGCAGCACTACCTTTTTTTTGAATAACTTCTGAACAGAAAGAGATGGAGACCAGCGGTTTTCGTTTTCCGGTAGTAAACAAACACCGGGAGACATCGATCTATTAGCAAGTCAAAATTTTCCGACAGGTCTAACATGGTTAGAATTTTCTTCGTAAAAATTTTACGTATTTTCCCATTGCACTAAATTGTGCAATGGGAGTAATAGTTTGGATCAATTCTGTCTGAGTTATGTCAGAATATCAAGATATACTCCATTTTATCTGCAACATATCATGGAATCCAATAGAACTTTTCAAAACCAACATAAAATACTTAGGTTTTTCAAAAAATTTTCTAAAAATCTTCCGAAGAGAATATTTTATACTATTCTTACTTACAGAATCTCTTTGAGCAGATAAAATAGAGTATATCTTGATATTCTGACATAGTCTGGATCAATTCTGACTGAGTTATGAATTTTCTAATTTTACATGAAAATAGGCAGAAATGGATTATTTCACCTAGTATAAGGTTTTCACTTGGTTTTTGAACTTTTTTCGAAAACAAAACATCGCCACGAGAATCAGCATAATTGGAAGCCTATGTTTGCATATACTTTTAAGATCCTCTTGTTAAAGATCGTCCGATGGGTAGGTCTTAGGAGAACGGCTGCAGTTTCTGAACCGTGGTAGGTGGAGATCTGGGACTTGTGCAGATATAATGAGAAGATGTCGCTGTACTTTAAAAACGTCTATATTTGAGACGTTTTTAAAGTACAGATCGTTATGATTTGTTTTTGGAATGAGGATGCCTCAGTTTTTCATATGCGCGGTACACCATGTTAGACGTGTCGGGAAATTTTGACTTTTTAATAGATCGATGTTTCCTGGTGTTTACTACCGGAAAACGTAAACCGCTGGTCTCCATCTCTTTCTGTTCAGAAGTTATTCAAAAAACGGTAGTGCTGCATTTTATTTTGAAATGGATAGTAGTTCTAGTTAGTAAAGTAGTTGTCTGTCTGTGTGTGTGTGCGCGCAAAATACGGAAAAATGGCTGTGAGACATTCCGTGAATAAGTCCAGCAGATGTGAGAAAACTAGAAAATTATTTTTTATGCGAGAGAGAAAACATTCAAAGAGATAGCTAAAATAATATTTACTAATGCAGAGAGCAAAACAGCTAAGCAAACCTTTTCTGTAGTTGGGAGATAGACATCGCCAGAAATAAGTCAACTTTGATAACTCAATAAAGTTTTCTACGAATAATAAAAGTTACAGAATATAGATAGTCTATCATGGCGAAAGAATCAGAAATACTTGCAGCCCCCGCCTGACTCAAAGTCATGAAAGGTCGTTCGCAGATATAAGTGGCTAAAGTCAAGCGACCGACCGAATGCGGACGAGCGTTACTTTGTTTATCAATAAATTGAAACTTGAATAAACTCAGTAAAGAAGAAAGAAAGAACGTTATTGCCTTTTGGCTCGAAATAACAGCTCCAAAAAACGGCCGACTCCAAAACGCAAAATATATCTGCGAACGAGTGACTTTGAATCGAATACAACGCTCACACCTCCCTTCGGTCGGTGTGCACTAGGGAACTATCTACAATATGTTATGAATATTTCTGTGACTTGAAATGTAAGCTTCGTAATCTAATATAAATTTAAAAGTTTTTCTCGACACCCTCCAAAGATCCCTAGGGGTCTAAAAATATTTCTAAATTCAACACAATGCTCACGCTTCCCTTCGGTCGGCGTTCGCAGGTAGAATAGGCAAGAAAATTTGGAAATATATGTAGATAAAAACTAGAAATGGACATTCCCTGATTAATTTCTATTTAACTGGTTAAGTTCAGTGATTTTACATTAAACTCATTATAACCGATATTTTTCTTCTTCAGAAAAGTAAATCAACACTTGGACTAAAAGATAAAATTTATTCGTTTTCATTTCGCTCGCTACATAAAAGCATATAATTTAGGTTTAGATTAAATTGAATTGCGCAACTGATAATAGAAAACGAAAACTTCTTCCATTCTGTAACCAGAATAGATTTTTCCCTTTCTTTCTCCTTCTGCAAAATATTATTTCAGAAAAAGATTTTTTGTGCCCGGGATTGAGACAGATTTGTACCCGTTTAAGATTTTTGTGCCCGGTCCGGGTACAAATCTTTTTACACAGACAGATATGTGCCCGGTTTGTGTGTTAAAAATTTAATATTAGAACTAGAGCTGAACATAAGTTATCCTGACAGATATCGCTTGTAACATGCGTCTATATGTTTATGTACTAGATGCATAAAGTACTAAACAGTATTCACAGACCGCCAATATTAATCAAGAATCTTTTTCGTAAATTCGATTGATAGATATATCATGCACAAATAGAAAATTCTAACGAGGGAACTTTTTTCAATGTATATCTGCGATTTTGTTCGTTCATACTTCGTTCGATAGAGGGTTGAGAGTAGGTAAAAATCCTAAAAGAATTTATCTCCATGGCCACGGTTTTCTGGAAAACTGGTTTTTCATAAACTCTAAAAAAATAATCCAAACCTTTCTTGATGAGTCGTAATTGTAGCCGGCACACTTCTGATTAAAATGAGATATCTCCCAGCTCTACACGACCTTTCTTTGCAAAATTATAGCGTTTACAAGATAAGCCCTAAATTACTTTCTTATTTCTGTAGGTTTGAGCGTGAACATTTGGGGGTTTTCTTGTAAACTCTATAACTTTGCAAAGAAAGGTCGTGTAGAGCTGGGAGATGTCTCATTTTAATCAGAAATTTCTGGGCTACAAGCATGCCTTATTAAAAAAGGTGATGGTTATTTTCTTAGAGTTTCTGGAAAACTGATTTTCCAGAAAACCGGATCTTCGAGAGGATAAATCCTTTTGGGATTTTTATCTACTCTCAGTCCTGTATCGAACGAGGTATGAACAAACGAAATGGAAGGTATACATCGAAAAAAGTTTCTCCTAAGTAATCATTGGGTCATCCTAGTTCAAAAATAGTCTCATAACTGAATTCAAAAAGAAAATTTCAACTAAAACTCATTGTAAACCACAGCTCGGAGAGAGTGGAATTTTGTAGAAGAATTTTCTGATGAAAATACTATGATATCATTTATAAAACAAAATAATGTTTCAATAAAACGGACCGAAACAACAGCTCTTGGAAAAAAGTAACATATCGATGATGATAATAAGCTGAGATCTTTCTTATTATTATTCCTGATCTAATTAAAACCGGGCACAAATCAGTCAGATCCGGGCACATATCTATCTCCGAACACAAAGGTGTAAAAAGATTTTTTTGTAACTGGACTGGGCTTAACAAAACTTAAAGCCTATTATTTTTCTTAAAGAGAAAAAGAAAGGAGAAAGAATGATATTGATCTATCTTAGATCAATATCATTCTTTCTCCTTTCTTTTTCTCGTTAAGCAAATTAATAGGCTTTAAGTTTTGTTAAGCCCAGTCCAGG